ACAATAAAAGCTGTGTGTTTATACAACACAGACACATTCTTGAGATGACCTGCTGCCTGTGAAACCGAGATAAGATTAAGCAGAGAGGCGCACAGGCGTGAGGTGTGTGTGTGTGAAACAGAGGGGAAGAGGCTGTGGTTGGAAAGTTTTCTGCACTGCCATTGACCACACGGTCCCTGTAATAGAGGCAATGTGAAGAACAAACCAGCTGTCACACACAGCCACTAGCACCCATAGTTCAGGGGGATCTTTATTTAGCCTCGGCGCAATTCATCTAAAATTTCATTGTACGTGTTACAATGACAATAAAGGATTATCTTATCTTATCATCAAACTACTGGTTGTAGCTCTTTATTCAGTTTTTATGAACTAATTATCTTCACCATCTTCTTTCAAATATATCGTTTGTCAAAGAAAAATGTCTATAATTGACTAAAATCTGGTTCACAAACTGGTTAAGTCAGGTGTGTGTGTGCGCGTGTGTGTTCAGGACACATTACAGTCAAAACCACTATGTCGTCTTTCAAACCCTGCATGAGTCAACAATGCAGGTTTATCAGAAGCCACACTTTACACAGTAACCTACACAATCCTCCTCCATGCACATGGTGACCTTTTCAAAATCCACTTCCCGACACTGAGACTTGCATCATCAACTGAATATTTTCCAAGTGGGACTGTGCCAAGGGTTAGCGCAAGTTTTCTTTAGATGTGCAGCACAAGCAAGCTTGTTTTAAAAGACGTTTTAATTACTGTGGTGATGCTGCTCCTTTTTCCTCTCTCCTCACTTTGGAGCGGCTTCAGATTTCCACTGGAGCAGTTCTGGGTCGAGTGCCCTCAGCTCTGGCTCCATAAAGGGGCACCACAGCAATTTAACACTGCACTACCATAACAATGAACTTACAAATGAGAAGATGCAGCAAACGCAGCAGAGGCCGAGGCACCCATAATCAATGCAACTCAGCAGCATCCTTTATTAAACCTTCCTGCCTCCTTAACAGGCGTGCAACATCTGTGAAAAATCATTTCTCTCAAGCCACCTCTGAGTTCATTCACTTTAGAAAAACATTTTGAACGTACTTCCAGAACATCAAAAGGCATTATACAGCTGAACCTCACATGTAAAACCGGTGGAACACCCTTTGAACGCTCCTCAGCTAACAAACCTTCCTCACCTGCTGTAAAATATCCTCTCAATGCTCTTCAACTGCACAAGTGCAGAATTGAGGTCAGGAGTGTGATGTTCTGATTACCTTGCGCTCTATGATCTCTACAGCCAGCCTCTTGGCGTGGCGGTAGCTCCGGTTGCAAGCAGGGACTCGAACAAACTCCCTGAACAGGCCGAGCTGGAACTGGACCAGAACTGGCGCCACGGGACTGGAGGGACTCAAAGTGGACATGGAGAGCGAGCCTGTAGAGGAAGTGTACACACTTATTACAGGAACAAAAAAAGCTTCTCAGGTTCAGTGAGGAGCTTTTTAAAATATGTCATTCAGAATCACTTTGTTTGGGTTCGTGTTACTATCAGTCTTCATAAAACCTGTTTACCAAGTGTTTTACCAACAGTTGGTAAAACAGAATGACCTAAAAATGGTCACCTAGCAAGTGACACATTTAAAAAAAAAACTAAAAACAGTATTAGGTTGCGGATATACTGATCTACATAGCATTAATAGTCACATCTGAGCTGTAATTTCCTGTTACAAAAACAAAACAAAAACAACCAACCCCACACTGATATCCTCAGTAAACCTGATAGGGAGCAGTCTTACTTTCTAATCCTGGTTCATTCAAGCGTCAGTCGTTCACCTCAGGTGCAAAACTGCATCCCAACAGTGTGACAGCTGATCAGTCTCATATTGTGTTGCCGAATCTTCACACAAACTCTGGCGAGTCTGGTTTCCTTTTCGCGGGGCTCGGCTATTCAGGAAGTTACAGAGAGAGAGAGAGAGAGAGAGAGAGAAAGAGAGAGACAGACACCTCTGAAGGATGTGCAGTGCAGCATACGGTTAACACCCCCAGCCCGAGCTGTGAGACGCACACACACTTTGAAATGGTCAAACCCATGTCTGTCCATATTTAGTCATGTCTGACATCAGTTCCAGTAGAAGGATGAAAATGTACATGACAGTCTGAAAAGAGGAATTTGTATTTATTGATGGTAAAATACACAATAAGCGGAACCCCTTCACAGTAAGATCTATATCAATATGCAGCACAGTAGGAGAACCCCCAACGGAACCAGGACCTCATCATTTACCATCCCTGGCTCTGACTGGATGCACCACCCTCACTAAGCATTTGGAAAAGTACAGACACACAAAACGTATCCTTGATGCTTTTAATGAAAATCCACCAGCAACAGACATTTGACAAATATTTACAAGTGTAACCGTTTTCAGTTTAATGAGCAGAACAGTGCTTTGAAGCTTCCAGTTCCAGAGATTCCCAGGAGAGGACCAACGCTGCTCCAACTCAGCAGAAGGGACCGATTATTATAGTAAAGTATTGATTAGTACAGGTATTATGATGTGTATACTGTAGTGAGAAAGAGCACTACAATTCAACTACAATAAAGTTTTCTACTAACTTTGTACACAGCTACGTGTATGTGTGTGTGTGTGTGTGTGTGATTAAAGGACTTTCCCATCATACTTGTGTGTGGATGTTACACACCATAAACACATAAAAGGTCAAATGCTGATCGCTCCGTACATCATTTGCTACAATCGACACAGCGCTTCTCGTTCCCCAACACTGTTCCAAAGCACTTTCATGTTTTACTCCTGGTTTAACAAACTTTATTACTCCTCTTCCTTTATTACAAACCATGCTCATCACCACCCCGCTCAATCACAAGCTGATAGTTACAGTAGCGCTCTCTAGACTCAGCTATTTAACAAAGCTGATGTCAAGAAGCGGAACCTCAGTTTGTTTAGGCCCACTGCGATGGCGTGCACGCGCCAACGGTGACCGAGCACCTTCACTGCAAACCTGTCTCCCCTGCCCATTCACCTGTTTGACCATCTTGAATTAGAAAATTTAGGAGACGTACATCCTGCGGACAGTTTCTCTTGGTATTGGCCTCATTTTGTTCGAGCTGATCGCAACAACAACAGAGTAAATGCCATCGCACCACACAACCGACATAAAATTCAACAAATACATCATTTCAGTGTCTTCAATCTCATAACAGGAAAAAAGTAAGCACAACAAAAATCACTGATGATGGAGATTCGTTAGTCAGATTTCTGTGATTGATTACGGCTGATGAAATCCATCAAAGTCAGTATTGAGAACAGTAAACGGATGGACAAAGGGAATCCTGTTAATGAAGGTAAACACACTGTAGCTGACGCACTGCATCAACTTCCAGGCAAATAATTAAGACAGTTACATTTTTAAAAAGGGTTTGATCGCGCCTTGAGTTTGCTACTTTAATAATTGTAAACAAGCCTTTTCTCTCACCCACAGAATTTTCCTTTCATAAGTTTTCTCAATACAAAAATATATATATATATCTCATTAAGAGGTTACAGCGGGGAAAGCACTGACTAGTGTTTGAGCAGTGCTCCTCTAGTACCACATAGGTAGTATTTAGGAGAGACGACTGAGGTTTAGCTTTACCTTCAAACGAGCTTTCTGGCCCTTTTTTTATTTTTTTTATTTTATTTTCCAAACAACTGGCACCAAACAAATCATTTGGAAACTTTCTTTTAGTAGAAGAGCCAGTGCAAACTACTACAGGATACACAGTACTGTCTTGCTCAAAGTGCTTTGAACAGTTCAGACTGGAACCTTGATGGTCTGGTGGCTCAGAGCAAATATCAGCTGATTTCAGTGATTGAGGTACTAAATTCAGCATTTCTGACCTTTTCATTGACAGTTAAACAAGTTCCCATTTCAGTTTTTCCTCGCCCTCTTTCCTTCTTTCCAGCCATCTCCTCCAAATAAGTAGTATTTTTGCCAACTGAGACCCGCTTTGACCCAATAATGTGTAAACACAAGAGAACAAACAAGTCAATGTGCACTATATACAAAGAATGAAACAGAATCAATAATTTAAAACTGTATATACACAGAAAACAAGAAGACCAACAGTGAGGTGTAAATGGTTAGTGCTATTGTTTGTTGAAAATCCACAAAGACTGCTTGTATTCTGTTCTCTTTCTCCTTCATTGCAGTTAAAATCTGATCAGATCACACCATCTATGATGTGCAATCAGTGGATGGGTAGTGTCAGCAAACACTTCATACTACTGGTGAGATATACTGAGTGCTATGTCTGAACGGAAACTGGAGTACGTTTAGCCTACCTACAGCTGAATGTCTGCACAGATGTGTATATCAGGGAAACAGGCGTGTCACAACGGGGATATGATGCTTTGCTACGGTGCGTTCGGGTGCAGACATTCCACTTTCTAGTAAGCAGCATGCTGATAAACGCGTAGTTCGACATTCTCCTTTCTGATGGATGACAGCGGTTTGTACAGAGCAGCAGCGGTGACATTTAGTGTGGTAATATGTTTTTCATTGTTCTTTAAAACAAACAAAAAGAAAAAGATGCTGCAGGCGCAAGTGTTTGATCTCTGCTTTTGAGCTTTAAGTGTGTTTGTTTGGTGAAACCAAGCTGCAAACAGCCTCTCCTCATCGGCCGCCCTGGGCCTCCGAGGCCCACCTCCTGTCTCTGTCTAACCAATCAGGGAGCTGCGTCTGGATAGGTCCACGTTGCTGGCGCTGAGTCCCCTGCAGTCCGACAGTCCAGAGTTGGCGTCCTGACAACAGAGAGGTAAATGTTGTTACAAGCCTCGGGCAGCACGGGACCGTGCATTCTACACAGCTACCTTTACAGCTCAGGTCGTAGTACGCCATTTTGAACACTGTTACATATGAATGAGCTGGACTTAACCGATATTACATTTACAGGATTTTACCCCAATATGATTTAAAATAGATATTTCTATTTAGTCATTTAATCCACTGACAGTTTCCCAGCTCACTGGGTTAGATTCAGTACACACTGATAAGAGATGGCATACACTGTCATCTATCCCCGAGTTAAACTGTGGCAGCTGTGATGAATAAACCTCTGTACCTGTGTGGTCTCCTCGGTGCTCTTGTTGAGGAAGTTGAGCGAGCTTGCCCTCTTCATTCTGAGCAGAAACAGACCAATTATACATCAACTTACCAGCACAGATCAGCGAGTGAGAAAGATGAAGAATGAATATATTTGGATTCTGGCCTGCTTTGTTGACTGGGCAAAAGACGCAACTTCAAAAAGCGCCTTCGGCTCCGGGAAATAAACGGCCAGGAAACGCACTAGTTGCAGCCTTTCACCTGACACCCGACGGACTATAAAGTCATTCTTTCTTACCCTGGGTTGCGTGGTTCTTGAGGTCCACTCCCCTGCAGCTTCTTCACCAGCATTTCACTGCTCCGTCGCAGGGCGTCGCGAATCTTCCCGAAGGAGCCGCTGCGACGCAGAGACCCATTACCATCCTGAATAACAAAATACAACACTATACTGAGGGCATTAAAAAGGAAAGACTTCCTATTAACGCTGCTCAGACCATGCTTTTGGTTTAATTACCGCTGAGAGAAAAAGAGCCCTGCACGTCAAATAATTACTTCGCATGCAAGATTATGTCGTCAGTGTCACGATTTAAGTGAACTTATTTCAACTTTTATTAATACTGAAATGAATTCATATCCATGAACTGACCCCGTTCCACTCAGCGGAGTCGTCCCCCTCGCCGTCCCCCCGCTGCCCCCCTGGTCCGCTGATTCCTTCCCTGCCGTGTCGTCTGTCGCCCCCTCCCACTGCCCCGTCCTTCAGCAGCTCCACCACCTTACTCTGGTTAATAGCATCGATACCCTGACACACAGGGAGAGAACAACAGATGAAGAGTGATGAAAGGGACTGAAAAGAAAATTATAGCTTTTTGCACAAAAGCTTACACAGCATGTGTACAGTCCTAATGTTTTCTTGATACCAGCGTACACACATTAGCTTCACGACTGAGCTTTACATCAGTGTGCCATAGTTTATGGGTTAATAAATCACTGCTGGAAAGCCCGTTGAACTAAAGCGGCTTTTTAACTGAAAAGAAAGAAAGAAAGAAAGGGCCCAGACGGCTAATCTAACAGCAGTGATTCAACCAGTGTTGGTGCGCTACCTGTTTACGTGACTTGCTGGCGCACTCCTCCAGTGTTTCTGCTGCCTCCAGTTTGCCCTGGCGACGGTACAAAGCTCCCAAGCTTTTGAGGGTTGTGTTTACTGTGGGGCTGCAGAACAATCCAGCAAGTCAAGTCATTTCTTTTACTTCTTAAAATGTGTTTAAGCAAATGTTTTAGCTACAGCCTAGACTTTTAAGATGATTCTGGGCCAGTGCACCTTTTTCAAATTAAACAGAGGTGAGACCTCTAATGCTTTTTTAAGGAGCTGTACTTAGACCTGTTATCAGTATGACTCACTATCACAGGGTTTAAATACAAAAGTGTTTCCTAGGACAACCAGGGAGAGGATGGTGGCACTGTAAAATAAATACATTGCCATATATTAAAGGCTCCCATGGCACAGACATGATTTGTTATACTGCATCTAAAACTTACTGCCTTTTTTTATGTAAAGCAGATAAGTATTAAGTCAGTACAAGTACACACTGCAGTGCACCTGTACACAAAGACTGTTTATATTGGACAGGAAACTATATCTGATGTGCTGCTTTCATGCAGGAATAAACTCAAAGTCTACTGAACTTTGGCAGCTGGTGGCTTCATTAAAGATGGTTTGGCTTCATGATTCCTTCCATGTTTCCAGTGAACTCCAATACCTGACTCACCTGTCCACCTTGCAGGCTTTATACCAGCTTCCATACTCTACATAGGGGCCAGAGTCCTTGCGTTTACCCTGACAGATGCAGAGAAACACAAAGAAAGAAGACAGAGAGGGAGATAAGGAGAGGCAGAGCAAGAGGAGCCGAGTTTGAAATATTAGCCCATTAAAGAGCCTAATAAACACGTCCTTGTTATCATTTGTACTGTCCGCTGCTCTCCACTTTTATTGTGCCATCCAATTTATTCCCCATAATGGGCTACTGTATCTGCCAGCCAATGGAATGACTGGAAAAGGTCAACCTGAATAGCTGACCTTGCTCTCCTCTCGCTCCTCTGCGTGCATCCAGATTGGCTTGTTGTCACCTGCAAAACGAGGACAAAGGAACATCATATAGATGCTACTTGATAAACAACGTCATCATGTGTGAATGGCATCACTGAAAATAAGTTGAATCAGGAGGCTAACCAGAAAATAATCAGGACCTCTGGACTGTCCTACATTTCAAAAGAAACTCTGTGATTTCATATACACACAGGTGCAGGACATGTGAGCACAAAGGGGTTTGAGAGGCTCAGTGACAGAAGGGAAACATTAGCCTTAAATCGATTCACATGCTGTGATAGCATGAAATAACCCTCTGACCTGCTGAGAGCTGAGGGCGACAGGAGGGACCAGGGTGTGGCCACTTCTGCAGACACACACATTTTATACTGCTACAAACTCAGAAATGTGCCAGAATTTGAGAAAACTCTTTGCTACAGTGCAGATTTTGTTGGGTATGGTCAGTATGAATGTCTACATTCAACCTGGTCCACAACAACCAGCTCATCTCTGCTCAGCTGAGTCACTGTTTACACGCTCACTCCAGTGTGACTCAGCAGTTTGACTGTGGGCTCTGCTTACTATTGACAGATCCAAACTCCTTCTCATGCGCCCTGGTCAGGATCTCTTTGTACAGAGCCTCGGCATCTTTGAACTTCCCCTGCTTCAGGTAGCATGTAGCCTGTAGAGAAGCAACATGGACAGACATCACCGAGTCAGACTGAAATTCAAGAACTGAGAACACACGCAGTGAAACTGTGACATTTTTAAGAGCAGAGCAGCATATCAGACTGGAAGAGCTTTTAAATGTTCTCACTATACAGTATCAAGTGTCTAGCTGTTCTGTGGCGCTCAGTTAAAAAGTCCTCACCAGGTTATTTTTGGTTTTAGCCACGTTGGGGTCATCAGCTCCCAGTTTGGACTCGTAGATCTCCAGGGCTCGTCTGTAGTAGTACTCCACCTCGTCGTACTTTCCCTGGTTCTGACACAGCAGTGCCAAGTTGTTCAGCTGCTTGGCCACATCTGGGTGGTACTTCCCCAGCACCTGGACATGACAGGGACAAAAACATTCCTTACATGACTCTATGGCCACGTATCCTTTATTAAGATATTTAACATACAACCCAAACATACATAATAGGTCTTCTACATATTAATTATGAGCCAACAGCTGTGCTACGGTCAGTCGTACCTTCTCTCTGATCTCCAGCGCTCTCTTGCAGAGGGGTTCTGCCTCCTTGTACTTGCCCCTCTTGCCGTACAGCACAGCCAAGTTGTTGAGGGTTGCGGCCACAGCCGGGTGATCCTTCCCCAGTGTCTTCTCTCTGATATTCAGGGCATCGTTCAGGAGATGAGCTGCTTCTTTGTACTTGTTCTGGTCTCTGGAGGATGAAGCAGAACCACAGCACTGCTAAACATCTGAACCATTTTACTTTATAAACTCTATAAATGCATAGTCTAAGACACAACTCCTCCCCATCCCCCCCACCTGTACACCAAGGCCAGGATGTTGAGCATGGTGGCTACATCAGGGTGGTCGTGCCCGGACGTCTTCTCCAGGTCCTCCAGGGCTTGTTTGCACAGCGGCACCGCCACCTCATACCTCCCCTGGGAGGCGTACTGGATCACCAGGTTGTGCAGCGTCCTGAGGCGGGCTGGGATCTCGTAGCCTCCCTGCTGAGCTGCCACCTCTCCACTGGGCTGCGCTATAGGACAGATAAGGAGGGGGCACAGGGTCAAAACTGGGTCAACAGGGTCAACTAGCAGAGAGATTAGTAAAACAGCTTCTCACTGCGAAATGCGAGAATAGGAAACAATGAGCTGTGGATATTTAAAACATAAAAATAAGAAGTTATGCTAATAATTTAATACACCTGAATGTCTCACGTGTCCTTCAGTCCATTTCCTGTGTGTCACATATATGAACTGGGGATTGAAGATGAGCAAATACACAAACATTTCATTAACATTCATTTTTGTAATTAATCATTTAGGTTAAAAATATAAAAAAAAATACAGAAAAATGTGCATCACAATTTCCCAAAACCAAACATCTTCATATTATTTGTTTTTCCAAAGGCCAGAGCCAAAACCCAAACACGGTCAGTTTACTGGCATGTACTGTAAGACAGAGCGAGCTGGAACTAATCTTCACAAGTTTTTAACTTGAAAAATGATAACAATTAGTTATCAAAGCTGTTAAGTTGCATGCCAAGTACAAAGCAGGACAAACTAAACCCAGAATAACCTGCACCCAGCTCTCATGCACATGACTGGCCCAAGAATATCCAGATGGTTTTTGTAGCGACTGCCACTCTGGCTATTTCCTCCTATGTACAGCACTATTTTAATTTTAAAGATCCAGAAACTATAGGCACTCTCATACCTCTCCTGTTTCTCCTCCATTTTGTTTCTGGTTAGTTTCCCCCTCCCCCGACTCACAGGTGTCTCCAATTTTACTCCTGGCTTTCCTCTAGTTTCAGGCTCTTTCTTTTCCCATCCCTCCTTCTAAAACAAAACCTTAGACATAATGTCACTCTAAAAACCATGAACTAAAACAATGACAATAACAGATTAAGAGATCTTGATGTCTGCTATTGTATTTTAACATGTTATGGCTGAATGTGTGGTTCACATAAAGAGACAAACCTTCAGAAGAGCATTAATTCAACCATCAATAACTGAAGAAAGTCGAGCTCTGACTGTCTAATGGGGAGGAAAGCTGAATAAGCTGTACGCTGCACTGCACAAGTCACCTCGTTTTCTAATTGACAAATCCTTTGACAAGCCTGAGCTTCTGTTCAGAAAATGGGAATTCAGCATTAACCAAACCACAGCTTCCTGCTTCATGTTTTGTATCTGTCTTTATCTGTATCAGTGACACCATGTCTGAGGTCCGCCACTTACCAAAAGCTGGGTATCAAAATCAGGACTAGAGAACAACTCGTGCCTCAGTGTTTAGATTCCTCTTAGTTCTGGGCAGTTGAGGGCCGAACCTTTCTGCTACTGAAAGGCACGGCTGTGTTAATTCTATTTTGACGCTCCACACATTAAATAAAACCAGCATTGCTGCTCTTGTTGCATGTTTGTGCTTTAGTCAAAACGGGAACGATTCAGTCTCTAGGATATGCTTAATATCAGCACCTTTCTATGTGTATTCACTTCTTGTTTCTACAAAGCACAGTATTCTGTGACATGAATAGAAATGACTCAACCCAGGGTTGGTCATTAGCACCGGAGAAAAGGTCAAACATGCAAATTGACTACGACTACCCAAAGCATCACCCCTTATCTCATCTTCCTCTGGTCCAACATTGCTGGTTACTCGCCTACAGTATCAGGCACCTGGAAGTCCTTTGTGTAGCACAAGTCCTTTCTGGCTCTGCTGATTAGCTTTAGCAATTTTTAGACTTAAAAGTTTATCAGTATAAATGAATAATAATTCTTTGCAACTCTAGTAAAGTTTCAGACTGGTTTACACACACAGAACAGCAAAGAGAGCCTTTTTTACATACCAACTTTCATATAAGCATGCTATAACCTTTAGGGTAGGAGACGTTCTTTGCTGCTTTTTTGTTGTGTATTATGATAGTAAATTGGATATTTTTGGATTTTCTGATTGGTTGTCAAATATAACATAGCAACATCTAAACAAACACACACAGTTAACATCTCTCAAAGCCCAGCTGAGGCCCGTCTTAGGTCTAATCACTACTGCTGATGTCATACCTGGTCCCTGCTCATCGTCGTTGGGGAACAAGTCATCTAGACTGTCCTTTGAAGTGTCCCCGCCGCTGCCACCGCCAGAGGTCTGGCTCTTCTCCTCTGAGGGCGACACGTCATCGTCGAACTTCTTGATCTGATTCATGAACTCCAGGTGCTTCTTCTCCTCCTCCAGCTGGGCGACGCTCTGCTCGCTGCACTGCAGCTTGTGTTGCGTTCCTGCCAGCTCGTCCCGCAACCACTGGTTCTCCTGGCAGAGCCGACGCACCTGAGCACGCAGCTTCTGCTTCTCTGACTCCACAGCGCTCAGGTGGCTGGACAGGGCGATGATCACCTGGGGAAAAGAGAGGGTGTCAATGTGGTTTTTAGATCAAATTTATAGATATGGCAATTTATGTTGACTAAATGACTGCTTAGTTGTTAAATTAAGAATAACCCGGTCTCTCACCTGTGCCTCTCCCAGGCCGAGCTCGATGGCCTCCAGACTCTTGCGGAGCAGCCCAGACTTCTCCTGGGCGACGGGTGGCTGGGCACAGTCCAACAGCGAGTTGAGGAGCTGTGCGTGTTCGCCACGCAGCGTCTCCAGGCCCTGCATGACGGCCTTTGTGTTGAGAACAATCTCATCCTGGCTCAGTCGCTCCAGGGCTTCTTCACGTGGATACACCATGGTGGACATTGCCTGGTTTCATACACACTGCAGGCACAGGAAAAGAAGAGGAGGTAAATCGTTTATTTCCCAGCGAGTTGGGAGGTGATTTGCTGATAGCTGCTCACTGCAACCCGCATCCTTATCTGCTGGTCACTGAGGTCAGCTGGGGGTGGAGGAGACAAAAAGCAAGAGGAAAAGAGACCTTACAGGAACAGATGCTTTCACTTTTAATTCTCTCAGCTAGAAAAAAAAGACAACATCCAAGTAATCTAAATTCATATTTGGACAACCAGTGGTAAATGAAAGCGTTGCAGCAGCAGAGACAGAGTAGCCAAATGTGCAACAATGTGACTTAAACCATTTTCCTGCTTTGACAGTGGATGTGCGCTTGTTCTGCCATCCTGCTCCCTCCCTCTCTGTTTGTCTGACTCTCTCCTTCTCTGCCCCCCTCCCATCCACCTCACACACTGACTGCAATGCACCAAGATCCACACTTCCCTTCATGTTCATCGCTTCCAAACGCAAAAAGGAAAGCTGTCAAAAATAGCAACCATAGATGACTATTATCATTTATACAAACACCTTGTATCTGACTATTTTTTAAAGCCCTGAATAAATAAATGAGACGGTGGATGGTCGAGGCCTGTGGCCGGGAAAAGGGTAACTGGCCTGGCAGCACATCTATCAAGGTCACCGACGATGGAAAGCACTGTTTAAACAGGACAAAGCTTTAATAGCTGATTCAGTAAACAACAGCCAGTCACTGAAAATGAGTTGAAAATGTCAGATGAACTATCTGTAAACAGTGCAGGCCCGAGCTCCATTGTGTTACACAATACACACGGATGTACACAATATTAGACGGTTCTACACTGTTTACATTATACCAGATAACAATATAGTAAAGAGAGTGTAAATATAAAATGTTTTACAAGTAGCAAGATTAGCGACACATTTACCTTGCTGAGGTCGTAACGGTTGTTTTGATAGGTTGCTAAAATATACTGACAAATTACCAACAAACAAAATAAATAACCATTTCAACTACATAACTTAATGTTCATATAAATATAAGTGTTCCCAGTTTTACCTTCATCGAAGACAAATGCGGAGTGTGATGCTCGAACAAAGCAGCAATGCAATGTTGTGATGCTCCAGAAGGACCAGCGGCAAGTTTACTACCGTAAAACAAACTGCTTCCGGATTTATTTTTCAGTATAAAATGTCATTTTCGATTACAGCGACGCAAAGTAAGATAGTGTACACACGTCATGCCAATGAATGATATCAAACACTGTAGGTTATCACTGTGATGTGGACAAATTGTATTATTATGAAGACACGCTTTTGTTTACAACTCTCCATTCACCTAAACAAGATGCTATGCCAAGTTTGTAATGAACGCTAAACTAACCATAACACTGACGTTTACTTTGAAGGAAGATAAGTTACCGTTCCGCTATGGTTAAGGCACCTGTCTTCATTTCACACTTCTCACGTTATCTTGTCACTAAAAGGCCCACACAAAAATGAGGGGCGCCCTACTGCAAAAAATAGAGGTCGCACTCCTAATGCGATTACAATCATAGCTGAAGTCCGCAATTTAGCTAATAGCCGCCTTGGCCGGACTCCTAGCGGTTTCCAGGGTTTTCATCACCTTCACCTTAACTTACCCCGATTGTCACTGCCAATAGACGACAGCAAGAAATCCTTAAAATGTGTTCAGTGATGGCCGTTACTGACTCTTCATCCTCACTAGTGATGTTATTGTACATGTGCTTCAAACGTGCCAACCAGGAGACAAAAATGGCTGTTCTCCCAGAATTCACTACCAAAGATGAAGCAACATATCAGGATGGTTCACACATTTGCCATTTTCCAAGACCAATGGGAGGTCAGCTTGCGCATGCGTACAGCCGAAGTGCCTCTCTATCACAGGAAACAACAGGTCAAGGAGGAGGAACTGTATCATTCCAGGCACGTAGATAAAACACTACACAAGCATTTATACCTTTTTTTAGAATTTCTTAGATTTTTTTTAAAGCCCATCTTCAGTATTTCTGAAACATTTCCTTACTATCATATACTAGCCTCTTCTAGGTTGAATATTTTGTCATTTTAACAAAGATGGAAATGCATCAGATATGTGGTGAAATGGTAAAGGAGTGCACCATCAGTTGGTTCTGATTAAGATTACTTATCTGATTCATTGGGATTAAATTGGATGTTACCACAAATCAAACCGGGTTTTCACAAAACAGGATGTGTGAGCCCTGTTGAGTACCACTGACTGCTTCACAAGCATCATTTAATAACACTAGGGTTATTCCTTCGGTCACCGTCTAAGATGCACTGTTTAGCCACGTATTACTTTTAATGCAGGATTATTTCTGTCATTTTGATTTCTGTTTCCAACCACATTTGTCCAATGACAGATGTTTTCAAATCTTAGTCTTTATTTGGACACTAAATAAATCATTTTTAGTAAATTATAAAGAAGCTATTGAGTTATACACACATTTCAAAAGCAAGAGTGAAGAATGAGCTACAAATCAGGAATATTTTTATTAAAAAAACAAACAAAACAATGAACACTTTTCATCCCACATCTGTTTGACAAACATAAAAAAGCAGTACTACAAAACATGACAAATAAAAAAAGAAAAAAGAACTAAATACAATATAACAAGTACTATTTGATATGTACAAGCATTATAGTTTATTATAATTATTGTCAGAGGCAAAAGGCGAAAAAAGCTGAAGACTGCTGCTGAAGAAACAATTGCATGTGCAAAATACTCTTCACAAGTCCACAAGCTTAGGACATTCTGCTCTGAGCAGAACCACGTCAGGCAGAATTCTACTACTTCCATAGGCAAATACTGTTCCCATGAGGGCAGACGGCAAATTTACAAGCTGTGAGAGAATGGGAACGATATCTCTTCAGGTGATTTCAGAAAGCTAAGCTTGTGGAAGCCTGGTGAAGGACATATTTCTGAGGATGGTTGAGAGAAACGCCACTGCTGACAGAGATTACTGATGGACCAAACAGCTCCTAATCTCTAACCACGATTAGTCAAGGACAGAGGAACCATTGTCACAGCATCACAGGTACAGAGGTACAGGTAAAAACACACAGGAACAAGTTCAAGATTTACATACAGACCAGCATTTTCAAAGAGACTGGGAAAACACTAAGAGTGGGATGAATGGATGAAATGAAAAGTGCTGAAAAATGAAAGAATGAGATGGAAAAGCATCGAGTTCATCCAAACACTGAAATGATGACAATGAACAAAGATCCCTTTGTTGTTAATGTGTTTAAACACCCCAAAAATCCTCAATCAGAATATAATCTTCACTTCTTAAGTTTGGTAATGATCCTGTAATTAACATCCATCTTTTAGTGGAATATTACAGAATCCAATTTCAGTTCAATCATCACCATTTTGGAATTACTTCTTTTAATATTTCATTTGTTAAATTTGAAAATGTAGTACTCTGTCATAATAAAACACACCTTTAAAAACGTAATAATTCACCACTATGACTTTTTTTAAGGGTCAGAGTCATATAAAGGAACTAAACAGTAAATTGAGTTTTGGGTTGCCACATTTTTGTGAAGGATCCCTTTGGTTCAGCTACAATATATCCTGCAACAGTGTTACTTTATTTCTTAATTAAACTACGGCTTTTCCTTTTGACCAGTTTAATCTGACTTATTAAAATGCATAATTACTACCAACACCTTTAGTTGAGAAATTCTCTTCGTAATGACCCAACATTTTAACCTATAGCTGTATGTACATGATTTGACCACTTGGAGGGTCAGCATGTCTAGCTAAGCACAACATTGAGATACTATCTCTTTATAAAGTTTTAAGTAAATGTTAGAAAACAGTTGCCAGTTCACACATCCAGCAAACATTTGGTTTCATTTCGAGTTGTATTTCCATCCACCTGGTGAATACGAGTCCAATATTCATTCTCCTTTCAGGTCTGATTTACTGTAGTGTTCAATTCTGAGCAGATAGAGCAGAGTGGAATTTTAAAGCTTTTGACAGCAGAGAGTGAACCGAAAACAGTAAGGTTGCAGGCGCTAAAACCAAAACAATGAGTTGAAAGATGCCAAAAACGCTATGCAGAGCAGAGGGGAGTTACAGAGTTGGGTGTCAATTCTCTGTGGGTTTGTCACTACACTTTCACATTAAGCACAGTCATTAGACCCATTGTTAATATAAAAATATAGACAAGTGCAGCTTTTGAAACATGGCGAGGATATATTGTACACAAACTAAAAGGGATACTTCAAGTAAGTTGGTCTCAAAACCTGGCAACACAAAAGCTCTTTCCATTCATGCTCAATCCTGAACATAAATGCTCTCTTTAAAATTATTTATTAACATTAATAAAGTCATTACTGGCAAATTATAAATCCTTTATAAATATGGGATATTTTAGCGACACCAACATGATTGTACTAGTTCTTAGCAAAGGTCTTAATCTTTAGTTAGACTCCTGTTCTGTGTGGATCAACTAAGCTCTACATGAAACCACTGTACATCAACACTCACTTGATATTTCAGGATATTCAGGTTGTCAGCAACACAAGTGGAAAAACAGCACGTTTTGGGCAGGCTGCATTCAAAAAGCCCACTTCATGCGGACTTGCAAATGACTGCACTGGAGCGGTGAAAAAGCCTCTGAAGTCTGTTTTGGGCTAAATAACTAAATGATTTTATTACAGTGACACTGTAACTCCACCAGTCCATTGAAATCAGTGTTTTGCAAAGATACCAGACAGCCCGTGTAAACTAATTTGAATACATTCAAATATTTGGAAATACTTCAAATCAATCAACATCAAACTGAGTGTTTGTTCAGTGAGTGAACAAGCAGATGAGCTCTGAACCCTGGTGCTGTAGGCAAGCCTGAGACATGCTGCTGAATGTAACACGTTCTAATCTATTTTCAAACAAACAAAAACAGCATTTAAATGAAGACGCTGGCGTTAACACTATTTTAAAAAAACTACTCTGCTAATACTTCACTGGAGATATAGAACGTTACGATGTAGGTGACACGAGGCAGAGCTACCCAGACCTGGTGACCTCCGCCTTTGAAAAAGTTACTTATTATTACAAACCACTTACACAGATACATTGTTGGATTTATAATAAAGTTGAATAACTTTTTTTTCCCAGTGAAAATGAACATGCTTTAGTGAGTTTGTTTGTTTAGTGATGTAAAAATTTGCATTCGCCTTGTGCCAAGCTACAAAGTAAACACGGTGACCACTGCAGCGTTTGCAGCCTGAATTTCATAGTCAGTGATATTATGACCACATCAGCACCACACAGTGCCAACACACACACACACACACACACACACACACACACACACACACCGATTGCATGCCCTCTGTCACATGGTATAAAAACAATTTCTTCTACGCAGTACTTTTTTTTTTTTTTTTTTTTTTTTTTTTTTAAACTAAGCTCCTGACCACATTACATTTATTTCACACTTGGTACCAGATACTGTAGATGCACAAATGACCTCATGACATCCTAGAGAAAGCACGTGGCAGACCTGTGCCAAAGTAACTGGAACCCAAATACTTGCTTTTGTGTTAAACTAAGGAGAAATGGAAATGCAGGAACATTTTTGACCAGGTCTGCTGTTTTTACCGAAGACAAAGCTGCCTGTTCAATAGAGTCAGGATGTATATGGGACACCCGGTGTCAACATTGTGCTTTATTGCAGGCGATTAACTCCCACTCATGCGATATAGATATTCACAGAAAAGCAAGATTTATGTTTGGAAACTATTTTTTCCCTCATTATATTTCCACCGATGCTGTTGAGTTTTGGATGGTTTAATTATGTATTTTGTTGAGTTTCCTGTTGCATATTTGGTCGGGTCTGCTGTTGAGAGGGTTAATCTGTATTTCAGCTGCAAACACTCAGGTCCATGTGTAAGTGCATAGCAAATAAGAAGATAAAGAAAACGGCACAGTACAGTAGCCCCTGTCCTGACATCCTGCAACTCTTCACAAAAACTATGCATCACAAAACAGCATTAAAGGGAAGATTTCACAATTTTTCACAAGAGCACAACTTTAAAAAGTCACTTCCCAGTAATACCTATCTTCCCCCTTTTTTAAAGAACATCATTAAAGACATCCAAATGACTTATTTTGGTACAGAAAATATTTAAAACTGTTATATGGAAGCCCTTGAAATAAAAACAAATGAATGGGCCTGTTTTGAAGGATGATCCGTACGGTTTATGATGAAGGAACGTCGTCACATGCTGGCCTTATATTTGTCAGCAGAGAAGAGTGTTTTCAACTCATGCAAACGCTGAAGACCTGTTCCATTACTTTTTATTTTGAGCTGCTGTTTCTGGCACACGAGTGATGTATCTCTTAGGATGGACCATGCACGTGTGGATCAGAGGCGACCTTAAGGGTTTCACTGAAGGTCAGGGGTCAAATGCTGAGGGCCAGACTTTAAGGGCAAGAAATCAGTGACTTGTTGCATGCTGTTGCATTCCACAGAATGGAAACATAAATGGCAGCTAGCTAATAAACTTGTGCTGTACGCCCCTTGTAAACACACATACACACACTGTACATTCACGTGTGCATGTGCATTTGCCACACACACAAACACACCAAAAGGAGCATTAAAGTGACTAGTAACGGCGCGGCGCTCCAACACCGCCCTCCTCCTGTCCCTCCCCAGAGAGAAATAACATGACAACAAAACTGTGAAATTAAAGAGAGAAAAACAGCCACTCGACGTCTTCGCTCAGCTCTGCAGGCGCCGAGAGGCCGGGGATGTGCGTGAAGGTGTGACAGGAAAGAGGGGAGTCAAAGGTCAAGTCAGGGTCAGAGAAGTTAAGGGGCGCTCACCCCTAGGAGGGAGGCTTGCTGTAGCCAAAGAGTCCGACAGGTAGGTATTTGACGTGAGTGGGCCACTGGGCGGCCAGCTGAAAGAACTTGACATCATTCCACTCCACGCCGTCTATGGACACTTGAATAGAAACAGAGGAGAGACACCGAAACTCTGCTGATTTAAAACAAAGAGAAATGATCTTTAGCAAGGAGCAAAAGTGAAAACTGAGGTACTGCATTGTCCTAGTTACTCAGGTTACCTTTCAGGATGGTCTGCTGCTGCTTGGCAGAGCAGATGAGTCGGCTAATGCCTTCAATGACCTGGCTCTTGGAGTCGACATCCTTTTCCTTGGGCTTCTTTCCCAAGAAGATGGTGGGGACTGAAGGGGGAAACGGGGAGGGAGACAGATACAAGTGTGAGCAGGTTTGTGTGTGTTGGGCCAAATCACAGCAACTGCGTTTTGAAACAGAACTCATTTCCAATCTGTCTGCAGTTATCTCAGATACATACTGGGAGAAAGTACTGCATCCTTTTGAAGGAAGACTGAACACATTCTAACTTTAAAAATCATTTTGTTTACCTAGTGTGATACAGAAATGTTTATAAAGCAGAAAATATTGAACAATCCTACATATGAATAAATCATACAGGGTCTACTTGGACAGGTGTTTTCCCTTTCTGACCACAGATACATACAGTCTGTGAGACCTGCGTGCAAACTGATAAATGAAATTTGCAAAGCATGACCCAACTGATGCACAGTGATTTTACCATTTACTGTGAGATTTTTGTTTTGTCTGTCGTTGGCATACAGGAGCAGGAGATGTTACACACGACACTGGAGATGTTTAAATTATGAAATGATGTTAGATGGCAGCACCAAGTCTCGCTCACATTTCACCTAATAGCATCATTGTAGCTAGTAAATCTAATGAATAATAGATGCAATGGCTCCGTCTGAAAACATTCCCGCATCTCATTTCCATCTCACCTTTCTTGTTCTTCTCCTTGGTGACCACAGTCATGGCCATGGTGCTGACCTGGGTCTGTGGATCACCGGTGCCCCCTCCTGGTAGCCTGCTGACCTGCAGTGAGCGGAAGGCGCTCTTCAGAGTGTTCTTGCAGCCTGTGTCCCGTCGCTCACCCTCCCGTCGCTTTTCAGCAAGCGAAGCCAGCCAATAATCCACCTGCAGGCCGATGGCGTCCACACCGTGGGACATGCTGGGACTCCTGTGGGCAGAAAGGTGTATAGGAAAAAGCAAAAAGGACAAACCAGTCCATTATAGCTGCATTATAGTCTAAAGCTGAAGAAAAAGAACTGCTCTGAACTGCTGAAACCATAATTTGCTGCAATTTTCCAAGTGGTTAGAAACATTTTCTGCAATTTTGCTTCACTTAACTTCATCTGCTGAAAATCATTTCAATTCAGATTTAGTTTGGAAAAAAAAACTTCACTGGTGAGTTTTGTACATTATGTTTTGCAGTTGTCCTACATGTTTTCTGCAGAGGTCGGGAACGAAAGATTAGAGCAGACAAAGCTGCAGTCTGGCTTTTGTTTGTGAAGTTTTCTAGGTTTACTTCTCGTGGCACTTCTTTTGTTCCTGCACAGGACAATTTCACATGCAAAACAATCATTATGACAAACTGTAGTTTCATGTATGCAACGGTACTGTATGTGAAGCAGTAAGACCAAGCACCACCTGGTTTTCCTTCAACTTCCATAGCTTACACCTTCACATATCAATAATTCAACCCTTTGAAATAATATAATAATTCAGAACTTCATTTTTATCCTGGTAATACCCAACAGTTTGAACATTAATGAAATATTTTTACATTGTGGTTTTAAAACTTGTAGAATTAGAGGATAAATAATTTGAGTTACTTTCCAAGCTTAAGAAAGAGGATAAGGATGAACAAAGAGTAGACCCAGAAGGAAACGAAGATGGGTTAGGAAAGGAAAAACTGAAGAAAGACGAGAAAGAAAAAATAATGGGAGTTTAGGAAAAATCTGAGGCAAAAAAAATTTAATTATTCTCACCCTTGTACTGTCAGGACGCTGCCCATGGAAGGGGAGGAGGGGGGAGTGGCCGCCTCCTTGATCATCCCTGTGGGGGAGCCATGGGAGGGAGGAGACGTGGAGGGAACAGCCAAGCTCACAGGCACGCCCTCTTCCGTGTCTCCTTACCAATCGTGAAACGGGCATAACGTTAGCACATCATCAATGTCCTGTCACTGTGGTGCTCAGTCTGTGAAATCTGCCTCTTCAATGTGTTTCCAGACACTCACCTGCTGGAGATGGACTGGACTCTATGAGACCGACCTTCACTACCTGGAAAACAGGAACGGACGTCAGCAAAGACTCTGAAAGCTCAGCACCAACCTCAGCAACCTGAACCTGCTGCAAATCTATCCAGTAAAATCTTACCCCAATAAAAGGAATGAATTTCTGGTAGGAGTCTTCATCTCGTCTGGAAACGGAGAGAATTTCTAACATTATCTGAAGTGTTTTTTCTAAAAAGACAGTTTGTGATATGGTCTGACATGTGACTGTGTCACTCACGTCCTGTGTTTGCAGGTGAGCATGGCCTCAGCAATGGGCAGCTGATGTGTGACTGTGGCTCCACTGATGTACTGGGCGATTCTTCCCGCTACGTCCAACTGATCTGGACATCACAGAGAAAGAATTCTCAGAAAGTGAATATATATGTGTGTGTGTGTGTTGACACCTCTAGTATCACTGGTGATGACAGTTACTTGAAGCTACATGTGTTGGCTTGTGCTGCTGTACCTGTCTGCGGTGGTTCGGAGCGGCTGAACACGTCCCTCCATGCCCCGTCCAGGAAGGACGAGCTGTAACGGTTATCAAGGGCGCCGAGGTGCTTGGCAACCGGATGGGAGCCTAAGGAAGACGATGGAGACACGAATGGAAACATGCAGAAGGGTTTGGATTAGCAGTGCAACAAAACTAGGACCTGTGACTTTCCAAATAAGATACAGTCTGAATAAATGAACACTTCCCAGACTTTACCCCCAAAATAACAAAACCTTGCAGTTACACAAGCTTGTGAGTCACCACAAAGACACCAGCAGACTCTCTTACCCAGAGGCACCACCAGGAAGCGCATGTGATTGAGCCAGTCTGACGTCTTGTTGGCAAGCTGAGTGACGAAGAACTGCAGGATGGCGCCGAGATAACTCTGGCTGCCCACTGCCGCCACCTTCACCGGTCTGGGCATGGACGAGTTACAGTTACAGCTACAGGGAGAGAGAGAGAGAGAGGTGACATCAGTGCTGTGGAGACAGTTCCGTTGGAACTTCCATCACCTAAAGATTACAGCCAATAGCGGAGACTAGAAAACAAATCACACAACAAACTGGCCGGTGACAAGTTCCTCAACTGAGGACAGTGCTTGACAATGGTGATTCATTTTATTTCAACTGCCATATACATTTATTAACTAATTATTTCAGCCCTAAAATTTGAGATAGACATAATCAAAACTGAAAAAGCTGTTCCTTTTTGTGATTCTTAGTGATGATGAAAAACTCGGAGCTTCTGATATGAAGTTTAATTTGTGCAATCAGATGTGATTCCTTTTAATAGTCACTGTTCAGAACTCTCTTTTCAGAGCATATAACCAGTTTGTACCATGGTTTTCCCCCGATGCGGATTGGCAAATGTCAGGTCAACAAAGCAAAAAGACAAGGTGCTGTACGAGGGAGAAGGTGAACATGTGAACAGAGACACAAAGGGTAAAAAGGGAAGTACATGAAGCATTGTTTTAGCATAAACAGAACATGTATGTCAGCTACAGGTCATGGGGGGGGAACGGGCGGAGGGGAGTGGAGAAGAAGAGACGACTGAAGACTTAGACATGAGAAAAGACTGAGATGAATCACGGCAGCAAGGGATGCTATAACTCAGAGTGTGTGTGTGTGTGTTTCAGAAAAAGCGCTCACAATTTCTGGATGCGAGTGAGCACAGCAGACAGCACCGCCTGGATTTCAGCCGCTGAACATGTGCACACAACCGGGTGTCTCTGTACCTGGAGCTGCTCTGCAACATACTGCAACGCACAAAAAAACAGCAGAGACGGATGATGGAGAAAACACCCAGCAAATGTTGTTTCTACACAGGGAAAAGCTTTGCACACACACACACACACACACACAAGCAGCCGTACCTGCCCCTGCCAGTCCGTCCCATTGACCAGGATCAGGCTCTCTGGGAGCGCCGAGTCCGATAACAAGATCTGGTTCAGCTGGTCATACACTGCCTTCCTCAGGACCTACACACACACAGGCACACAAATGCTGAGGACATAGCCCCCTCTCTGCAGCAACACATTTACTCTCCAGATGACTCATCATCAGCGCATACATAATTCATTTCTGAGCTCCAGGCGAGTCATTATCAGGATGCATGTGTGTTCTTCGCTTTGGGGAAAAGACGAGGAGGGAGTGGACAGAAGAGGACACACAACATTTTTTTTTTTTTTTTTTTGTTCAAGTGCAAATCTGACTGAGACTTTCGGCCCCATACCGGCGTACTGTGTGCAGTCCCCAGCTCCGGGGATCTCTCCGAGTCCGAGCTGTTGGTCCGCTCACTCAGAGGTTTGGACAGCTGCCTCTCCTTCATGGGGGTGCTGCTGCGCTTCTGCCGTGGGGTGTGGCCTCCGTCTGACCTGTGGAGAAAAAGACGGCGTGGTTAAAAACAGACTTGCATTTCTAAATCCTAAGATGGCACAGAGAGGACAGGGAGCTACACGTGCACAACGTGAAACATGTCAACAAACATACAAATCAGCTGATGTTCCAGTGGGAAACAAACATTCACCAGGGTTTACAAGGAGCAATCGCTCTCACGCCGACACACATAGCGAATCTGTAACGATTTATGGTCACTCAGTGGTAAGACGGGCTTGGCGTGTTTCCTTCCAGTCAGGAGAAAAAGGCTGTGCAGCAGAGAGTGGCATCACAGCCGCCTGTGTATTACTTTGGTGTCGTGCTTGTGATGCCCGAGTGTGTTCAGGTTCACAAATATAGCATGAAACAAAACATAATATCTCTTTTGCTTTGCCATGTGCACAGCCGGCCGACATCATGAAGCACTCTGCCGAAGATGTCAAATAAGAAAGTCCTGACATGTCAGTCTTTTTCTTGGCATGTGTATATTTTAGACACAGTATTAACAACAGTTTGAAACAAATGATAAAAGAAGAAAAACAAGACAAAATTTAAGAAAGTGATCTTTTGTATGTGCCCCCCAATGAAATGTATCAGAGTTTATCCCTAATTAGTTTTTGTGTGTGTGGATCATGCGTTACCTTGGTGATGGCATGGTCTGGGTCTCACTTTTGCTGCTCTTCATGGGTGTACGGGGTTTCTCTGCCACTGACACCATGATGCAGGGGCCCACCTCAGCAAACAGCTCCTGATCCGTTAGCTCCTACACACACACACACACACACACACACACACAGTACCAAAGATAAACTGTCAGTGTCAAAGACAGGAGATACTGGCGATCCTAAAGCGATGGTCTGCACCACTTCATCAGTTTTTGTTCCTCTCTTTCATCAATCTGTCTCAGTTGCTGTGCAGATGGCAGCGAACCCCCCTCAGAGCCCAACAAACCATTAATTCACTCTTCTTCTCACACACACACACATTAAAGGAGCCGTACCAGTGTGTCCGTCTCAGACAGGGTCTCCTCCAGATTGCGGCTGCGAGAGGGCTTCATCTTCTCTATAGGAGGCTGCTCCCCCTGCTGGGAAGAAGAGAGAACGGCACTCAGTCGACTAGCTGAAAGAGACTAGAGACTAGTAAATAAAAGGAAGAGAAGACACAATGCGGTCTCGGTGCGTGGCTTTAGCAGAGGACATCATAAAGAAACAGAAGATATTAGTTTGACCTGACACTGTTGACCATATAAAGTATTTCACTGTAATAAACCTGGATTTTCTTCTCCAAACATTGTGAGGTCGTGCGCAAACAACAGTAAAAGCTTTTTCAGTGTTGTTATGAAAGGCTGAAGAGCAGCTGTGTGAATTCAGGGGAGACCTTCGGTGAAATCCATTCAGCTCACTGACATCAGACACTTTTTGTTGAGCAGATGGCGGCTGCCGCAGAGTTATCGGTTTCCTGCTCCGTCAAGGAAACATACTCCAGAAATGGTAGATTTGCCATGAACCCCTGCTGAGCTTCACATTCTGGATATTTACCACATCGATGCCAGACAAGTCACACATGTTGTGCTGTATTCTTACAGTATTTTATGTCACTGTATACTATTTATTTACATTTAGTTTTGTTTGGAGGTTCTAGAGTTCATCCTCTGCATACAGTATGACAGTGGCTCCCAACCTTTGTGGCTTGTGATCTCTTAAAACTAAACTTTGTCTACCTGAAACCCCTCATCACAAGCTGCATATGTTGTCCGGTTCAACCAGCTCCACAATGACTGCTCATCTGAACAGCTTTCATTTCCAGTAAAGCATATTTGTCTGAAAAACAAACCCTAGTCTTGTCCTTTCGACACCGTGTCACAATCCCTTCCCTCAGATTTACCTTGTGACACCTGAGGGAGGGTAAGGTGATGAAAAGTGCAGGCAGGAAGCAGCTCACGGAGGTTTCTTTGAATCAGCAATGATTCATTTATAGAAAATCTCTCACAGGCTCAACACTATCACTGCACACCAGCTGTGGGGTTTTATAAAGTCATAGGTGTGTATTGCACTTGTAACACATGTCTTGTATAAATGTTATAATGTCTGGTTGTAGAGCCTGACAACCTTTGGGGGGCAATAAATATTTACTGCACTCCGCTCTTGGTAAGATGGGGAGAAAAAAAAAAACCCAACACAATCCATTCAGGTTTCCCTGAGCTCTGCTCGAACACCCTACCGGTCACATAAGTGAAATTCCTGC